ATCTTTATATTTATCTGAGGTATTTATCTTTGATCCAACTTATGTTGGAAGCCCATCAATGTTCCCCTCAGCAATTTGAGGACGAATTGGGGATTTTGCTGATGTCTACCTCAGTCAGATTTTTCTTCTTCAGTTCTTTCTTTGGTTTTCTGGCTGGTTTGTTTTTGGGATTTATTGGGTAGAGACACTTTGTTAGAAAGTGTTTGTTTACTGTCTTCTGTCCTCAGGGAGTTACAGGAAGCTCCTTTTCTCAGTCCCATGCTGTTTGCTAGAGTTACAGAGATAATAAAATCACAAATTGATTCAGCTTGTTTACATTCTTCTTTGTCATCGTTGGCTTCTCACCTATCTGTTGCTAATTTGGGAGTGTTAGCTCATAGTGTTTCCTGACCCCTCCTTCGATTCCCAGGTCTACTGGTTCCAAAAATAGAGTCCGTCTGTATTCTTGAGGATCTTTGACTCGGGCGGACACTCAACAACGGCATCAGTGACTATCCCGTGGTGGGGGAGCAGTGGGCGCATGATTACATCATTTTCTGGACATCTGGAGTTCTTTCACCAGGGATCCATGGGTACTCCATGTTCTGGCTTCAGGGTTGGTCATTCAATTTACATCACCTCCAGCATTATCTGCACAACCAGTTGCATTAATTCATTCCTAGGCCATAAGAGACTTGTTAGTCCAAAGGGCAGTAGAGAGGGTCAATCCAGTTCTTCCAGAATTTTATTTCCGTTTATTTGTTGTACTGAAGAAGACAGGAGATTGGCATCTAATCATCTATCTGTCTTGACTCAACCAATTTTTAGATCCTCCTCACTTTACAATAGAATATTTTCTCAACCTACAATGGGACTTTGCATCAGGGTTCTGGATGACCAAGTTCATTTTTTACTGACGCTTATCTCCATATTCCCCTAGTGGAATCTTCTTGGAGGTTTCTCAGGTTTGTTCACAAAGGTCAGGTGCTGCAGTTCAGGGCTCTACTATTTGGTCTTGCATCAGCACTTTATGTCTTCTGCAGAGTTTTTCGGGATTTTTCTTATCATCTGCATTCCCTGGGCCTGTGCATACATCATTATATGGATGACTGGTTCATTCTGGCACCACTACTTCAATTAGCAGAACAACACACTCAGAATCTGCTTTCAGAAGTCACAAAAGTAGGTTTCCTTATCAGACTGGAGAAATGTATTCTGTCACTGATGCAATATCTTGTCCATCTGGGTGTGTTTTTCAGTACTCACTTAAGTTGTGCTCATCCAATCCCTAAGAGGCTTCAAGCCATGGAAAGAGCTGTCTTCTTCTCCTACTGCACA